GCGCTTTTCATAAAGAGCAGGTCTAGACCGTACTCTGTGATGTTATTTACAGAAGCCCAACAGTTCCCACCAAGAGCAGCACTAGGAGACAGAGGCAAGGAAAAACTTCCTTTTAAGAGGCAGAAACCTGGAGCAGAACCATGGCTCAGGGTGGGCGGCCATCTGCCTCGACCTTGGTGGGGGGGAATTACAGAATTTCTGGATTCTAGAATTCTCCAGAATCAGGTCCAAGTCCCTGCATGTCCAATCCAATGCTGCATACAGAGCTCCTACTGGGTCTGCACCATCTACCTAAACTCCATAATCCAAGCCTACGTTCCTTCTGGGCCACTGCGCTCCTCCAATAAACGCCGCCTGGCTCTGCCATCCCTTCACACAAAGCGACCTCAGTCCCTGTTCTCATTTGTGACACCACGATGGTGGAATGAGCATGCCATCAGAGCAGGGGTGTCCCTCTCTGACTTCAAGAAACTCCTGAAAACTCTGCAGAGAACATTTCCTGATAACACCTCTCACCTGTAAAGGCTCGTGCAGACTACACGACTTTCAGTGTTGCCTACAATTCTCTTGTATTGATTGCACTTTTTAGTAGGCATTTACCCCACTGATGCCATACGTGCCATTAGCTCTTACTAGTATGTATTGTCAGTTGTAGATCTCGTCCTGTATACGTAGATCCTTTGTTGACGCTTGTATGTTGTTCCTCAAATGTAAGTTGCTTTGGATAACAGTGTTTGCTAAATGAGTAAATGTAGAGATTGACCTCAGCCTGCAGATTCAGTAAGACATCATTCTTTGAAGATTTTGTAGAGGAGTCTGGATGTTTTTTTGCTTCACGCTGCAGCTCGTAGTCCTCCTCTTCACTGTCCTGTAAACTGGGAGAGTGCCTTCTTCATCTGATCAAACTTATGAACGGCATTCTGACACTGATCAGCTGACTTGAGGATGGAGGTTCTGAACTTTCTGTCCCCTTCAGGGGTCGCAGTGAGTCTGAAGAACTTCAAAAAGAGCATCAGCAGTGCACCTTTCCTCTCCATCACTGTAACAGCTACGGCCAAAGCTCCTACACTCCCTCGTTTCAGTTCATTCACTCGTCTGAGGATCCTCTGAAACTCCTCCATGTGTGACAGAGTGTTCTCAGCCTGAACTGCAGCTGATTCTTCCTCCAGCTGTTCACACGTTGTCTTTATTTCTTCCAGCTCGTTCTTCAGCGGTTCAACAATCTCCAGGAATTCTTTCCCCAGCTTTTCTACTTCCTCTGCACTTCCATTCTCTTTCATTGTTTTTAATATGTTTGCACCAACAACATTAAATCCTCCTGCTGCTGCTGCTACTGCTGCTGCTGCTGCTGCTGCTGCTCTAGCTGGTCCTGCTGCTGCTGCTGCTGCTGCTGCTGCTGCTGCTATTCCTGCCACAGCAACAGCTGCTGCTGCAGCTGCTACTACTGCTGCAACAGCTCCTCTTGCTGCTGCAGCGGCTGCTGCTACTACTGCTACTAATGCTGCTGCTGCTGTTCCTGCTGTTGCTCCTGCTACTGCTGCTGCTGCTACTACTGCTGCTGCTGCCGCTACTACTGTTGCTGCTGCTGCAGCGGCTGCTGCTACTACTGCTACTAATGCTGCTGCTGCTGTTCCTGCTGTTGCTCCTGCTACTGCTGCTGCTGCTACTACTGCTGCTGCTGCCGCTACTACTGTTGCTGCTGCTGCTGCTGCTGCTCCTGCTACTGCAATAGCTCCTGCTTCTGCTCCTCTTGCCACTGCAGCGGCTGCTGCTACTCCTACTGTTGTTGTTTCATCTGTTACTGTTACCAGTGCTTGTAATGCTGCTGCTACTTCGGCTGCTACTGCTCCTGCTGCTACTGCTACAGCTGCTAGTGCTCCAGGTTTTACTGTCCCTACTGCCCCTGCAATTACTGCCACTGCTGCTCCTACTGCTCCTATTATTACTGCTCCTGGTGCTTCTACTCCTACTATTACAAATACTGTTCCTGCTATTGCTGCTCTTACTGCTGCTCCTCTTATTCTTGCCTCATCTGTTACTGTTACCAGTGCTTCTAATGCTGTTGTTACTCCTGCTGCTACTGCTCCTGCTGCTACTGCTCCTGCTGCTACTGCTCCAGGTTCTACTGCTCCTGCTGCTCCTGCTCCTACTGCTACTGCTGCTCCTAATGCTCCAACTATTAGTGCCTCTGATGCTTCTACTACTGCTACTAAAACCACTCCTGCTCCTACTCCTCCTACGGCTCCTACTGCTGCTGCTCCTGCTACCACTGCTCCTGCTGCTACTGCTCCTGCTGCTACTGCTTTTGCTGCTCCTACTGCTGCTTCTACTGCTCGTACCGATACTGTCACAGGTGTTGTTACTACTGCTACTACTACTGCTGCTGCTGCTACTAGAACTGGTCCTGCTGCTGATGTTGCTGCTGCTCCTGCTACTACTACTACTACTACTGCTGGTACTAAAACTGGTCCTACTGCGGTTGTTGCTGCTGCTCCTGCTACTACTACTGCTGCTGCTGCTCTTCTTACAACTGCTGTGCTTGCTGCTACTGCTGCTTCTGCTACTGCTGCTGGTGGTACTAATGCTGCTTTTCCTACTGCTGCTGGTACTACTGCTGCTTCTGTTACTGCTGGTGGTGGTACTACTGCTGCTGGTACTACTGCTGCTTCTGTTACTGCTGGTGGTGGTACTACTGCTGCTGGTACTACTGCTGCTGCTGCTCTTACAAATGCAGCCGTGCTTGCTTCTGCTGCTGCTGCTGCTCTTTCAAATGCTGCTGTGCTTGCTGCTGCTGCTCTTCTTACAAATGCTGCCGTATTTGCTGCTGCTGCTCTTACAAATGCTGCCGTGTTTGCTGCTGCTGCTCTTACAAATGCTGCTGTGCTTGCTGCTGCTCTTCTTACAAATGCTGCTGTGCTTGCTGCTGCTCTTCTTACAAATGCTGCTGTGCTTGCTGCTGCTGCTCTTTCAAATGCTGCTGTGCTTGCTGCTGCTGCTGCTGCTACTCTTCTTACAAATGCTGCCGTGCTTGCTGCTGCTTCTGCTGCTGCTCTTCTTACAAATGCTGCCGTGCTTGCTGCTGCTGCTGCTCCTCTTCTTACAAATGCTGCCGTGCTTGCTGCTGCTTCTGCTGCTGCTCTTCTTACAAATGCTGCCGTGCTTGCTGCTGCTGCTCTTACAAATGCAGCCGTGCTTGCTGCTGCTTCTGCTGCTGCTCTTCTTACAAATGCTGCCGTGCTTGCTGCTGCTGCTGCTGCTACTCTTCTTACAAATGCTGCTGTGCTTGCTGCTACTGCTGCTGGTACTACTGCTGCTGGTACTACTGCTTCAGCTGCTCTTCTTACAAATGCTGCTGTGCTTGCTCCTGCTGCTGCTGCTCTTTCAAATGCTGCTGTGCTTGCTGCTGCTGCTACTCTTCTTACAAATGCTGCTGTGCTTGCTGCTACTGCTGCTGGTACTACTGCTGCTGGTACTACTGCTTCAGCTGCTCTTCTTACAAATGCTGCCGTGCTTGCGGCTGCTCGTACTACTGCTGCTTCTGCTACTGCTGCTCTTCTTACAAATGCTGCTGTGCTTGCTGCTGCTGCTGCTCTTCTTACAAATGCTGCTGTGCTTGATGCAGCTTCTGCTGCTGCTCTTCTTACAAATGCTGCTGTGCTCGCTGCTTCTGCTCTTCTTACAAATGCTGCCGTGCTTGCTGCTGCTCTTCTTACAAATGCTGCCGTGCTTGCTGCTGCTCTTCTTACAAATGCTGCCGTGCTTGCTGCTGCTGCTGCTGCTACTCTTCTTACAAATGCTGCTGTGCTTCCTCCTGCTGCTGCTACTCTTCTTACAAATGCTGCTGTGCTTGCTGCTACTGCTGCTGGTACTACTGCTGCTGGTACTACTGCTTCAGCTGCTCTTCTTACAAATGCTGCTGTGCTTGCGGCTGCTCGTTCTACTGCTGCTTCAGCTACTGCTGCTCTTCTTAAAAATGCTGCTGTGCTTGCTGCTGCTCTTCTTACAAATGCTGCCATGCTTGATGCAGCTTCTGCTGCTGCTCTTCTTACAAATGCTGCCGTATTTGCTGCTGCTCTTCTTACAAATGCTGCTGTGCTTGCTGCTGCTGCTGCTTCAGCTGCTCTTCTTACAAATGCTGCTGTGCTTGCTCCTGGTACTACTACTGCTTCTGCTACTGCTGCTTCTGCTACTTCTGCTGCTGGTACTACTGCTGCTTCTGCTGCTGGTACTACCGCTGCTTCTGCTGCTCTTCTTACAAATGCTGCTGTGCTTGCTGCTGCTGCTGCTGCTGCTACTCTTCTTACAAATGCTGCTGTGCTTGCTGCTGCTGTTGCTGCTGTGCTTGCTGCTGCTGCTCCTCTTATTACTGCTGCTTCTGCTGCTGCTGCTACTCTTACAAATGCTGCTGCTACTGCTCTTACAAATGCTGCTGCTACTGCTGCTGCTGCTGCTCCTACTGCTGCTTCTACTGCTGGAACTGATACTGCCACAGGTGTTATTACTACTGCTACTACTACTGCTGCTGCTTCTAGTAGAACTGGTCCTGCTACTGCTGTTGCTGCTGCTCCTGCTATTGCTGCTGTTACTGCTACTGGTACAGCTGCTGCTGCTGCTGCAACTGGTGCTGCTCTTCTTACAAATGCTGCTGTGCTTGCTGCTACTGCTGCTGGTACTGCTGCTGCTCCTGCTACTACTGCTGCTGCCACTGACTTTTGTCTTTTGCCTTCTCTTACTGCAGCTGCTGCTACTTGAGCTACTACTGCTCCTAACACTAATGCCCCAGCTGCTACTGCTCCTGCTACTAATAAGCTCACCCCTAAAGTAAACAAAACCACAAAGATCATGAATCCAAGTCCTCCATTAACAGCCCCTGTTGATCTGACTGCATCTGTTTCCTGCTGCATCTGTTTTACTTCAGCAGGGATCTTCTGAAACCTTCCTACAATCTCTCTCATCCTGTGTTCAGCGTTGTTAAATTCTCTGACGAATGAAGCTGCATGTTTGATGAGTTTGCTCTTTAATACAGACAGATGAGGAGGCAGGTCTCTGCTCCCACTTCTTGGACTTTCAGCCATTCTCAGTAAGAGTTCCTCTGCAGTCTGTTGAACAGCTGGATTCTAAATCAAACTTCAGTCTGAAGGTTTTCCTCTCTGCTGCTGCTCAGCTGACCAGAAAGGCTCTGTGGAGACAGAGAGAGACAGGTGATACCCACAGAGGTGTTTCCACCAAGCGGCTTCTGGTCTCCGGGCTGAAGCCAAACCGGGAGAGCAATAAACTGCAATTCATCGAGTGGCCACTTGAGGCTGGCTCCCAAAGGGAGTCAATCTCCATTGACCACCATGTTTAAAATGCCCTTTACAGCATTAATAAACATAAACACAAGCCTGGTACAAAAGATGGTTTTAGTGCATATCGCTAATTTTGCCCTTTATGACAACCGTGAGGGGGGTGAAGTTTTTTATAACTCACCTGTTTAAATTATATTAATTGTCTGTTGGCCTCACTCAGCTACAATACACAACAAGCAGCCCCAAGCTGTGCTACCGATGCTAAGTTAATGGGAGTGTGTTTTGACCACAGTTTTTAAAGAGTCAAAGAGAAGTCAACAAGAAGAGAGAAGACAAAATGTATTAGAGAAGTGTTAGACATCAGGGTGATAATACTTTGAAGAAAAGGCATCTGTGTGAAGTAAAGGCTCAGCTTTCAGTTAGCTGTAATGTTAACAGTAAACCTTACAAACGGGCAACGTTAGATTTGGCTTTGTACTGTAACGGCATCACTGTTCAGTTAGATACTAGTCAGATACGATTAGGATAAGTGGCTGCACCTGAACAGGAGGGACACAAAGGGTTGAAAGGCAGAGAGCCGGGGGGAGCAGCTGCAGCGTCCTGCCTGACTGCTAAGGAGAGCCATGCACCTCCAAGTAAAGCTATAGTTTAAAAACGTACATATTTAACAATGTTTAGAGTCATCAATAATTATTACACTTAGGAAAAGTAGCATTCCTTGAGATTCAGTAACTGCGTTTATTACAGCACAGCACAGCAACGTGTCTGAAAAAGAGCTTAAGAGGTCAATGCATAATTTGGCAGAACAGATGTTGTACGGTACCTGCAGAGATTTACATCCATCTTTTTGTCAGCATATACAGTATGAGTGTCATCTCCCGCGAGGTGCAATCAATTTTTATTTATTTATATATTTATTTAACAGGGACAGTGCACATTACAGTAATCAACGCCATAGTTAGACTTGATGTCTAAATTACAATATCTAAAGATTGTAAATGTACTGGAGTTAGCTAAATAGCTCATTTTCATCCGTAGTCCCTGAGCAGGTTATAACCAATTAATGCCCAACATCATCAATACTTCAGTACATTGCTTCAACAAGTACTGCAAAAAAATTAAAATAAAAATTATACTGCATAACTACATTACAAAAGTGATAAATGTATAAAATACAAACAATTTAGTTATAATTATTATCGGTATAATGCCTAGACAAGTACTGCAAGAAATATGAAATACAAGATAATACATAAATACATGACAAAAGTGACAGAAGTACAGTATGTAAAAAGATTAAGATTATGTAACTTCTTGAAAATACATATATCTCTATATCTCTATCTATATATATATATATATGTCATAAGTTTATATTTAAAAGTTAAAAAGTTGTTGCATTCTCTCAATTCAACAGGTGAACTATTCCTGTAACAGGTAGCTCTAACTCAGAATGCTGTCTGTCCAAACTTACTACATCTGTACTGTACAATACAGTCCCCTCTCTCTTTAGTGGGTAGGGGCTAGCCCATGTAACACCTTAAAAACAAGGCAAGGATCTGCAAATTTTTATCTATCTATCTAAACTGAATAGATTGTATTTGTTTAATTATATGACAGTGATGATAGCTATTGACCTTTCAAGATTTTTGTCTGTTTGTACAGTGACCCAATTTCAGAGTTGTAGTGTTTGTTTTGGACCAGCTTGTAAAGCAATATGTTGTATATGTAAAATATTGTAGCATGCACAAAGAGGTTGGCTACCTCTGTTGTTAAATATGGTCTGATATGTCTAAAATTAGCCAAATTGAATTTAATCATGTTGGTGATTTTTTAACTGCTTTTTAACTGTCATCTTTGAATCTATTATGATTCCCAGGTATTTATAATTAGACACCAGTGTGATGTAGCAAAAACATCGGGTTGTGGGGACTTGCACACACATGCACACAGTTTTGTTTACATTCAAGTGTAAACATGAATTATTTAGCCAGTTAGAAACCTGTGCCATGGCTGCAGTTATTTTCTTTGCAGCTTGTTGTTTGTTTTTTGCATGCACATATAGAACTGTGTCGTCAGCATACATTTGTATGTTGACAGAGGGACAGGCTAAGGGTAGGTCATTAATATACAAGCTTAACAAAATTGGGCCCAGCATTGACTCTTGGGGAACACCAATATTACAATTTAGGTATGTAGACTGAGTATAACCAATACGTACACTTTGCTTCCTGTTTGTTAAGTATGAGTTCATCCATTTAATTGCATCTTTGGAAAAATTAAAAATGGATAGTTTGTGAGGAGTACCTCGTGGTTTACTGTGTCAAAAGCCTTCTTTTGATTAAAAAAACTGCTCCTATTTCACCACGTTCATCTAATTTTGATTTTATATTTTCAATAAAATAACAGTTGCTTTTTCGATAGAGTGATTGGAACAGAATCCAAATTGCATTGGATGCAAAGGAAAGTGATATGTGCTCAGATGAGTAGTCAGCTGCTTTGCCACAGTGGTTCCGTCACCTGCCTTAAAAATGGGTGTCATAACAGTCAGATTCCAGGTGCTTGGAAAAATTCCATTCTTATTTGATAAGTTGATCAGAAGAGCAATTGGACAAAATAGATATCCTTGTTTGATGTAAGAAATGTGGTGCGGTGCTGCAGTGGTTAGCACGACCTTCTTGCCTCACAGCAAGAAGGTTGTGGGTTCGAACCTTGGCCTTTCTGTGTGGAGTTTGCATGCTCTCCCCGTGTCTGCGTGCGTTCTCTCCGGGTGCTCTGGCTTCCTCCCACCATCCAAAGACATGCAGGCTAGGATAATCGGTAATCTCCAACATTGTCCTTAGGTGTGAATGTGAGTGTGAGTGGTTGTTTGTATATGTGTGGCCTTGTGATGGACTGGCGACCTGTCCATGATGGATAGATGGATGGATGGATGATATCCAATCCATAAGCATCCTTTGCTTTTGAGTCTTTTAAGGAGGTTATAATGTTTTTAACCTCTGATTCAGTTATTTATGTTATTCTAAAAAAATGGTTTGGCATCATTGATGGGGATACAAGCTGTAGTTCTAGGAGAGAAGCTCTCAGCCAACTCCTCAATTGAATTCATAAAAAAAATATTGAACCATAACTTCAGGTTTCTTTATTCTCTGGTCTTTATTACGTCCAGTCAGTCTATTGAGATTTTTCCAGACGAGTTTTCCATTTCCCCTGGTTTCATTAAAGGAGAACTCCGGGCAATTTTTAATTTAATCTTGATAGTTATACCTTTGTGAGTACTGTCTATAGAAAAAAAAACGAAAACGAAAGAAACACTAAGAAAAAAACTTATATTCCTTACTACCTTATTTCGAAGTGATGTAAAGATCACTACTATTACCTGGTTTAAGTGCTCTTTTCAGTGCCAGGTCTCATTCTTTCATTTGTTGTCAAAACGTTTCATTAAGCCATGGTAAAGTTTTTTTTGTCTAGGTTAGTGTTGCACCTTCCTTGTGAAGGAGGACATTACTTTTTTATAGTTGTTAAATTATCACACACAAAAACAAACAGTAGCTCATCCAACAACTTAAATATGAAAAATTTCATTGTTGTAATAAAGCAAACAAATTAGTAGTAGTAGTTATTCCATCCATACTCAATACAACAGGTACTATAACCCACAATCCGCAGAACATAAACAATTTCTTTTATAACTTTTATAACAATCTGTATTCCTCAAAGCACGAACCTAACCAATCAGAAATAGACAACTTCTTAGATAATCTGGACCTACCTACACTGACTAGAGAACAAGCCAACCTTCTAGACACACCACTTACTCCTGAAGAACTCTATACAGCCTTAAATAAAATGCCAAACAATAAATCACCTGGACCAGAAGGATTCCTGGACGAATTCTATAAACACTTCTGAGATATTCTATCACCACTATTTTTTAGAGTAACTACAGAAATCAAAGATACTTCGACGATACCCTAACACATGAATTAGCTCTGCAATTTGGCTTTCGAAAATATCATTCCACTGAATGCACAACGTCTTGTTGGCTGACGTATTGCGGTAAGCGTGTCGACTCATTTCCGTTTCCGGTGCTTGTGTGTTGGTACCGTGTTGCGCTGCTCTCGCTAAATAACAGTTACATTTGTTAGATTACAGCGGCCAACTGTTCGCTAAACACTTATTCTTTACAGTAATTTTGCCTAAGCACTCACAGTTCTTTCCATCTTTTAGTGTTTTGGTAGCTGACGCTACAGTACTTTAGCTTAGCCGTTAGCGACTTTAGCTTAGCAGCTAGCGATGGCTTCTCCTTCTCCCTCTCTCTCTCCTACTTTCTCCTGCTCGGTGTGTCAGATGTTCAGTTACTCCTCTGCCTCCTTTAGCGGTAATGGTACATGTAATAAGTGTAGTTTATTTATAGACATGGAGGCGAGGCTCAGTGATTTAGAAGTCCGGCTCCGCACCTTGGTAGATCAGTCTTTAGCTACTGTAGCTAGCCAGTCCCCGGTAGTCGGTGCGGAACGGCCTGAGTTAGCCTCTGGTAGCCGTCCTCCGGCATCTCCTGTGCAGCCAGGAAAGGGGGGGGGCTGGGTGACTGTCCGAAGGAGGAATAGTCGTAAGCATTCAAAGTCCACGGGCATCATCAACCTGTTCACGTTTCTAACAGATTTTCCCCACTCAGCGACACACCCGCTGAGAAACCAACTCTGATCATTGGCAGCTCCATTTTGAGAAACGTGAAGTTAGCGAAGCCAGCGGCCATAGTTAAGTGCATCCCTGGGGCCAGAGCGGGCGACATTGAGTCTTATTTGAAACTGCTGGCTAAGGATAAACGTAAATACAGTAAGATTGTTATTCACGTCGGCGGTAATGACTCCCGGTTACGCCAATCGGAGGTCACTAAGATTAACGTTGAGTCGGTGTGTACATATGCAAAAACAATGTCGGACACCGTAGTTTTCTCTGGTCCAAATCTGACCAGTGATGACATGTATAGCCGCATGTCGTCATGCCTAGTGCTTGCTCTTGGTGGGAACTGTTGGGCTTCTGTAAATATCATCACAGAGTTCGGTCTAGACCTGCTCTTTTATGAAAAGCGCTGTGAGATAACTGTTGTTGTGATTTGGCGCTATATAAATAAATTGAATTGAATTGAATTTAATGAATACTGCCGTCATAACACTTTTATTGAAACCTAACAAAGATCCAACTCACCCCTCTAGCTACCGCCCTCTCTCGCTTATTAATACTGATCTAAATTAAAATTATTACAAAATCCCTAGCAACAAGAATAGAGACAGTTAAGCAAAAACTAATGCACCCAGATCAGACAGGCTTCATCAAATACAGAAATGCTTCAGATAACCTCCGTAGACTATTTAACTTAATCGATATATCACAGCAAAGACAAGACAAAACCATAAACGTATCATTAGATGCCGAAAAAGCTTTTGACAAAGTAAACTGGACTTTTCTATTTAGCACCCTATGCAACTTTGGTTTTGGAGAGTTGTTCATCCATTGGATAAGAACACTGTACACGTCACCTAGAGCTTCAGTGATTACAAACCAGATCACCTCACCTAGCTTCACACTTCATCAGGGAACCAGACAAGGATGCCCACTCTCACAATCCCTATTTGCCATTTTCATTGAACCACTCGCAGCAGCAATACAACAAAACAATAAAATTGATGGAATCCAGGATGCCAGCTCACAACATAAAATTAGTCTTTATGCAGATGATTTATTATTGTATCTAAAAAATCCATCTGTGTCACTACAGGACACATTTAACATTATTAATAAAAAATAATAATATTAATAATAATAAACTGGAAGAAATAAACTATACTACCGCTATCTATAGATGCGTGGGATTCTGCAGCTCAAGACTCCTCCTTCCCTCTCTAAACTGGCAACATAAAATATTTAGGCATTAATATTTCTAATAAGATGTCAGACCTCTTCCACCTCAACTACACCCCTCTGTTAAAAAAATAGAAGATGACTTTAAACGATGGACCAAACTTCCACTCACTCTCATTGGACGAATCGCATCGGTTAAAATGAAAACATTACCTCAGATTAATTACCTGTTCTCAGTGCTTCCCATCACCCCCACCGACAAATGGTTCAAAAGACTAGACTCACTAACTACTGGAAAAACAAAAAACCGAGAATCTCACTTTCAACATTACAAAACAGCAAATCACAAGGAGGCTTGGAAGCACTACATTTTCTTTACTACTTTCTGGCAAATCAATTACAATATTTATTCAAATGGACCCAAAAGCTTAGCAAGTTAAATAACACATGGCTAGAACTAGAACAAAATCAATGTACACCCACATCAATTGCAGACCTTGCCATCTTACCACCATCAATCAAAAAACTGAAGTACTGTACAAATATCACAATCTCATCAACTCTCACAGCCTGGTGGAAAACTAATTAAATTACCAGATCGCTGATAACACCTTGCAAATATACCCCAATTTGGCATAATCTGGATTTAAAACTGTATAACACCCCTGTGTATTTTCCATCATGGCAACACAGCAGAATCACCTAGTTGAAAATAACTTATATTATTCAATGCACGTTGGGAGAGACAAATTCCTCAACTATCAACAATTAAAATCCTTCATTGAATCCAGAATTAACATTACCAATAACACATTACAACCGCCCAAATTAAGTGATGAGATATTAAAAATCACAGATACAAAAAATATTGTCTCCAAACTCTACAAGCTCATATTCTGTACAGATGCCTCCATAACACTTCCAATTTCAGAATGGGATAACGATTTAGTAGTCTCTCTCAACCCTGAGGTCTGGACACAAATCTGCAATACTATTTTCTCCATGACCACCAACACAAACTTGCAACTCATACAATACAAAAATATCAACAGAATACACCTCACTCAATACAAAATGTTTAAAATGGGACTGGTCGATACCGATATCTGTTCTCAATGCACCTTAGGTATAACAGACAATTATCTCCATGCCACTTGGACCTGCCAACCAGTTCACTCTTTTGGACAACAGTAACTAACAAACTTTCCCAGATCTTGGGGTGCAGAATCCCATTTTCCCCATCATTATGCCTTCTGGGAGATATTACACAAATTACCCTACCAAATAAATATAAAAACCCACTACTCGTTTCTCTAGCTGTTGCTAAGAAAGTAATCTTTCAAAACTGGAAATCCAAGAATTCTTGTCACATCACTCATTGGATTAATTTACTTACAGAATATATTTCACTAGAAAAAATAACAGCTCACAAAACAAGAAAAATATCAGCTTTTAGTGAAACCTGGGATACATTTGTAACTTTCTTTAACTCAAATCTACCCCAAGATTAAAGCCACGTGCATATCCACAGACCTCAGCTATAACATATATTTCCAAAAAACGATACAACACTTGATATCTAACTAGTAGGCTATATTCTCAGACACAAAATTTCCTCCAATCTACCATTCTGTTTTTCTGTCTTGGTTCATTATTTTCTCTTCCTTTTTCTCTCTCTTATTTTACACTCTATCACTCAATTACATAACTATTATCATACTATCATACCACCAATAGACTGACTAAATCCCTTTAATGTATTTTTTTTCCTTTTTTCCTTTTTTGTGTTGTTGTTGTTATTTATTATTACAGGGGTATATGTTATACATACAGGGGATGGCATCCATAACAATAGCAGCCAGAATGGATTAACAAGCAGGGGCAAGGACAAAACTAAAAAGAAAGAAAACTGACACCCTATTAAAATATTACATTATTATAAATTACATTTACATATATATATATATATAATATATATAAGTATTTTGTATAGCTGCTCATAAAACAAGCTGTTAGATGATGGTGGTCGATACAGACAGACAACAGTAAAAGACATTTCTGGAGACAATGAAATATTCAATCTAATACAATCCATTCAATGAGACTGCACCTAATTGTCTCTTTAACATAGATTAATAATACCCCCCTTTACCCTTGTCTCTGACCCTCCTGAACACGTTCTCAGGAACATTAAAAATACCCAGAAGTATTGTTGTTGTTGGTATTGTTACATGTTGTGAAGTGTAATGTCAGTTTCTTGTTTGTATTATATGCACGTGATGCAGAGCTTAAACATACTGTGCCAAAAACATGGCTAAGATCTATGTAATCTAATGAGAGAATTTATTTAGCCATGTTTCCTAAATACAGAGAAAATCCACATTAGAGTCAATAAATGTTGCAGCTGATTACTCTTTGAGACGATACTACGAATGTTTAAATGTCCCCCTAATAATCCCTTAGGTTTGGAGCGTGGATCCCAGAGAATTTTAGAGTGATTGAGAATTTGGAAGAAGTTCATTCTGCGATGTTTCCTCACTGTTGGGTTTAAACCCTTTTGTCTTTGCCTGAAAACAGTCTGTTTAACGGGGCTCATAGTTCCCAGTGAAGGTGACACAGCCAGTTTGGGACTCACCGCTATCAGATATCCGCAGATACGAGTGTCCTCGTGCCACTGAAAAGACGTTACACCTGCGGTCACTGACACCGCTGGAATTGGAATTCTCTGCACCTGTGGTGGGAGACAAGTAGCTGGGCTGTAACTAGAGCGAAGCTCCTGAGTTTGGAAAAGGCAGTAAAATAGGAGTGAGAGCTGCTTCTGAGTTTGTTTGGTGGATTCGAATTTGCCCAAAAAATTCAAGTTCAATAAGAAATATAAAATAAGATCTTAACAATTAATCCAGTCCCATCTTCCAGCATGGCTCTTCAGCCTTTTACTCCACAACACCTAAACAATACTGATGTGAACACTGGGTTCCTATCAACAGGTTCTATCATTATAATAACTGTTAATACACATTACTTAAAACAACTTTTCCATTTGTAACCTTTTGATATTGATGTTTTCATGAATGCAAGACAAGAGTTTTCAGTAGATTTTGTTGACCGCTGGACAGCGTGTTGGAGGAGCACCTTAAGACAGCTACCATTTTCAAAGGCACCTCAAAGACAAACTTTTGGACTGTGTGCTGTCAGTTCTTAAAGATTACATTCTGGAGGAAGTAAAAAATGCAGAATATCTCGCTATTCAGGCAGATGAAACAACTGACATCTCCACCCACTGCCAGTCGGTGCTTGTGCTGTGGTACATAAACAAGAAGCTGTTGGCTACAGAGGTAAGCTGTATAGTTCATAGACATCTCTGAAGTGTTACGCCAGGAATCCACTGCTATGGGACGTTACAGCTGCGCCACGGTTTTGAGTCCACTTATCTCAGAAGCGTTTTAGCGTTTTGTTGTTTTACGATCCGGAGTCTCCACAGGGTGGACTCAAAAGCACTGACTGTAATGGCCGCGATTAGCTCTGGCAACCGTGGCGCAGCCATAATGCGCCGCAGTGGATTTGCAGTTATTTCCAGTGGTGGACAGTAACTTAAGTAGGCCTACTGTAATGAAGTCCAAATTAGAGGTAGCCTATTTGTACTTTACTTGAGTATTTTCTTGTCATGCCACTTTCTATGTATATGTACACTGTTTATGTTTTCGTATATTAATATAATAATATTATAATGGCATTAAATCATTTCTGACTATTTCATAAAGCACTGGTATCCTGCAATTTTTGTTAAATTGTATTGGGACAGTTACTGAAATTGACTGGATATGGCACAGCCCCACCTAAAATATTTTTCACCAGCCGCCACTGGGCTGCGCCGTGGTTTTGAGCCGTCTTCAGCCCCGTGTCCTTGCAGGGTTGAATTTCCCACATGAAGCATTTCAGAATAAGAGCGTTTTGCCTGCCTGATTTTGCTGAATTGTTTATATTTAGTTGATTTGGTAAGTTGACCTTGACTTTTGTGCTTCTACCATGGTTAAGAAGGCTACATAGTTAAATTATTAAAAAACCTCATCTCGGGCTAGAAGCACAATAGACATGGTGAGTTGGGTGGAGGTGAGAGATAGGCAGGTAGTGCAGAGGGCAAAGTTCAAATACATTTCAGTGACCATTAACACAGCCCGTCTCCACCTGTGTCTGTGGACAGAGCTGACACAGTCTCTCTTTTCTGGGCAGCCAGATCTGCCTGTGTCGGCCAGTGTCTTTGGCCAAGCTGTAGTCACAGAGTCTGTTCATAGTTAATGTCCTCCTCAGTTTCTGATCGCTCACGGTGCTCAGATAGTCTACCACCGTGTACTCTCTGTGTTATTCTCTCTCTCCCTCTTCCCAAACCAGCAGATGGCCGCCCAGCAGATGGCCGCCCAACCCGAAGGCTCGTGCAAACTACACGACTGTCAGCGTCGGCCGATGGCCGTGCCGTTCACACTACACAACTTGCCGTCTTGTGACAGGAGTCTTGAAGTCGTTGTGGCGTTCACACTACAGGAGCTGACAGCGGCTGTGTCACCCGACGCTGCTCTCCAAACCACGTTTTGTCAAAACACACGTGAAATGTGAAATGACGCGAACCTGCACAGGAAACAGCTGCTGTTTGATATTGTAAAGATAGAAATTATAAGGACAAAGAATCTGGGTGAAAGACTGGATCAGCAGGTAGCAGGGATCGTCTGAGCTGGAGGGGAGTAAAATGGGTTTTGCAGTGAAAAAGTAGCAGCCTGCTCTCATTGGCTGGATGTGAATGTCGAGTCGTCCGAGTCCTCCAGATATTTAACATGCTAGATATCTGGCAGACGTCAGCGATGTGTCAGATATGTGCCGGGGAGCGACCGCAGTTTAACCGCTGATTTACCCCTGATCACAGCCTGACGGTCACAAGCGGCAAATCGGGCAAATAATCTGAACTAGGCTTGAGCCATGGTTCTGCTCGAGGTTTCTTCCCTCTGTCGCACAGTTTTTGCTCATGGTTGGAATCGTTGGGCTTCTGTAAATAACATCACAGAGTACGGTCTAGACCTGCTCTTTATGAATAGCGCATTGAGATAACTGTTGTGATTTGCCGCTATATAAATAAAATTGAACAGAAGTTAAGCGTCTTGCTCAAGGAAACGTTGGTGGATGTGTCACACTTGTGGACATATGGTGTAAGTCAATCTAGGCACATATAACTGTATGTGATTGACAGGTGAAAGGATCCACCCACAGCAAACAGAGGATCAGGAAGTGTCAGCAGGGCGGCGTTCAGTCCTGATGAAACATAGCAAAATGGAAAGGGTGCTGTCTAACACCTGTTGTAGTATGCAGACTCCGCCTTTTAATATGGCAGGGTTTCTATACATGTCGCTGCTGGTTGGTTTACACCTCTGACACACACACACCAAACCAGAGAAAACATACACAAAAACCTGTTTCACAACATTTCAACCCAGAAACCACAGCAAAACGGTGCCCTGATCTCACTGCTAGATTTACAATTAAGTCTGCTGTGTGTGAAATGATCCGGTCGTCCTTAGCTGTTTGCAGAAGCTGTGTGAGGCAGCAGAGCAGCAGTGAGCATGCTCAGTGTGTCCTTTCAGCTTTCACTTTCTCTGAAATCATGTTTTCACAGAAACAGCTGACTGTAACTGAAATTCCTCAAGAAAGATAAAAAACAACACATGATAAACTCAGCAGCAGTCTGTGAGCACTGTTCTGAACAAGAGGTCAGAGGTCAAACTATAATACCATCAAAGTCAGACTTACTGCAAGGTTAAAAATTAACTTTACTTTCAGCAAAATAATCAAAAGCAGTGACCTGAGGAGCAGCACTGATCGACAGACTGTTGATGAATCTGCATATAAATCTGGATCCAACAGTAAAACATCCCACATTTAAAGAACGAGACACTGCTGTGCTTCTTACCTGCTCCACCTGCTTCAATAACACCACAGCTTTGACTGGTTTCTGTGTGACGCAGTAACAGGCCGGGGGGCAGAGGGTGTGGCTGTCTCCGCCTCACAGTTCTCTCCAGGTACAAAGGGACAATGACAAGGCAAGTTTATTTGTATAGCACATTTCAACACCAAAATGCTTCACATAAAACATACAAGCAACAGGGAAATATTAAAAAATTATATATAGTAGAGATATCTAGAAAAAAAAACAGGCAGGTCTCTTGGCTTATTTTATTTTATTTTAATCCTTTGATTCCCCATCTCCCACTCTATTCTATTTTTTTTTTTTTTACATTTAGGGACTCTAACCCACTTTACATCAGTGGTCAGCAATAGGCAGAACCGACCCCCCAGCAATAATATCTGGCCCGTGGCCAGATTGCTTTGATAGCAGAAAAAATACATAAAAAATAAACTGATAGCGGCTGGTGCTAAAACCGAACTCATGACAGCTACAGTTACTTACAGAATCTCTTCCTCTTAAGTGATCCGGCCTCCAAAATAAAAGCGAGAGAACGTTTTTTGCAGCATAGCTTCATGTTGAGTTTACTGAGAGCTTTTAATTTGTAAAGTTCTGATGGACATTCAGAAGAGTCTCTGGGCTGCTTGACACACCTCTGATTTCAAAAAATCAAAATAAGCGTCCGTAGGTTTATTAATACAGATCAAACGTCTGGACGCGCACACAGTGCAGCACATGCTTTATTGTGAGAATGTGCAAAAGCGTCCTTATAATCAATTTATTTAACAAGGGAGAAAAAAATCTGAGTCAGCAGGTGAGGCTGGGAAACATCACATCCAGCACCTGGACTATCAGCACTGGCGCCCCCCAGGGGTGTGTGCTCTCCCCACTGCTCTTCTCCCTCTACACCAACGACTGCACCTCAGGAGACCCATCTGTCAAACTCCTGACACAACGGCCATCGGCCTCATCCGGGACGGTGATGAGTCGGCCTACAGACGGGAGGTTGATCAGCTGGCTCTCTGGTGCGGTCAGAACAACCTGGAGCTTAACACGCTCAAAACTGTGGAGATGATCGTGGACTTCAGGAGGAGCCCCCCCACTCTGCCCCCATCACCATACTAAACTGTGTCTGCTGTGGAATCCTTCAGGTTTCTGGGATCCACTATATCCCAGGACCTGAAGTGGGAGCCCAACACTGACACCATCATCAAGAAGCCCAGCAGAGGATGGACTTCCTGCGTCAGCTCAGGAAGCTCAACCTGCCTAAGGAGCTGCTGAGGAAACATCACTGCAGATCCATCTCACCCCGGACACAACCTGTTCCAGCTCCTCCCCTCTGGTAGGCGCTACAGAGCACTGTACGCCAAAACCAACAGACTCAGGAACAGTTTCTTCCCACAAGCCATCACTCTGATGAACAGCTGATTTCTGACTCACAGTGTCAGGAACAATTCCTGTGCAATAACCCAGTAACTCTGTCTCTAATCAGCACCTGTTTACTGGTTACCAGCAGTGTTGGGCAAGTTTCTCAGAAATTGTAATATATTACTAGTTACTTATTACTCCTTAAAAAAGTAATATTATTACTTTACTTATTACTGGGTGATAAAAGTAAGTATGTTACTATGTTACTTTCCAGTATTTCCCACAGAATGACAGTGCGGTGGGGGAGGTATTCTAACTTTGGACAGGTTTGTGCAGCGGTGTTCACAATAGAAAGGGAGAGAGAGAGAGAGAGAGAGAGGAGGTGCTGCATGAATACACGCTCCTCAATCAAACGTCCGAGCATCAGTGACAGCAGCTGCCAGAGTTTCATTCTGTAAGTGTCAGGTGGCTGTGTTGCTTCAGCAGATGCTTCAATAAATCAGATGTAGAATTGTTCCCAGTTTTTGCTGATTGCACACAGTTTACAACAGACGACAATGTTCTTTGCATCTTAGACTGTCACACAATAATGGCAGCAGCTACTTCCAGCTGTGGAAAGAACGCCTCTCTCCCTCGTTCTCCTGTCTATCTTTCGTTTTTGGCTATCAGCTGACATGAACGGCAAAGTCCGGTACCGCTGAGCTGCTGCACAGTCAAGGATGGTGCTTTCGGTAACGAGTAATGCAGCGTTACTTACTTTAGTAACTAGTAATTATATTACTGTTCTAGAAAAATAATTAGTTACACAGTTACTGTGAAAAGTAATATTATTACAGTAACGCATCACTAGTAACGAATGATAAATAAGAAATAGAATTATGAATGAGAAAATAAGTGGTAACCAGTATTGGGGAGTAAAGCTTTATCATCCTCTATTTCAGAGCTGTTCATATTGTTCACACTGTTATATTTTCATATTGTATATACTGTTTACCGAATCCACCTACCTCAAGTACAAACTCCTGCACAATAATACTTATTTATTCCAGCATCCTTTGCACTGTGCTCCATCGCACTTTGTAAATGTCTACATGTACGCATGTATGTGTACCTGTATATCACATCCACCTCCGACATGTAAATAATAATAATAATAATTTTACTCCTGCATCCTTTGGACTCTGATCACTGCACTATTTGTCAATATGTCTATATTCTTTTTGTTCAATAAAAACTGATTCTGATTAACACTTAGGGACTCTAACCCTAAGGGGACTCTTAAGATTTATTGCCAAGAAGCATAGTTACAACAAAGAATTAATGTACCAAACACAAATTTCATTACTTTTTGTGCATAGTTTATTCTTAATTTTGCTAATTTTCCATTTTTCCCTTTATTACGACTCATCTGTTATCTGCTCTGCATTTTGTTCCATTAACAAACATGAGCTGTTATCCAAGCTGTGTTAAGCAGGAAAAGCTTTAACTGGTGCACTGAGCTGGACAGATGCAAACATTTAGAAATTCAGGCAAATTTCCTTTCAATGTAACGTTTGGTTGATAGTATTATACTAGTAATTCCAAATATAGCCAACTGTATGTTTTAATAGTCTACATACAGTTCTTTCTAAATTGGATGTTAATAAACTCTTTTTATTTTTGGTCAAAATTAATGTTTTTGTGGCCATTAATTGGGTTAAAATAACATTTTGTTGGTATAACAAGTGATAAAATAGAAAAGTCTCTTACTGACATCAAATTATATTGTAATAATATTTTGAAAAATGAAACCAAAACTACAACCTCTAAATGTTGTTTTGTTATTGTTATTTACTTTACTATTTTTTATGTGTCCAATTTTTATATCTTTATACTGTAAAGTAATACAGCAACTTTTATAATAAAAAAAGTCTGGAACAGTAACCGAAAGAACGAGATCGCAGGTAGAAGCGGCTGAAGTGAGTGAAGGCGTTGACGTTGTATTGACGCCTCCTGCAGCTCTCCTGCAAAGAGAAACAAGAATGTTGATAAATGGGTCAATGACTTGATGCCTACATTTTGTGTCCAACTGGATTTTTTTCACAAAAAAAAAAGGTTAAAAGCATAAACCTATAAATACATACCGTATCAATACAGGACCTCTCCCATATATGTACTCACCTTTAACTTTAAAAAAAACATAAGCTGTTTTTATTTTTTCTGATAATTGAAGTGTCGTCCGGCCATAAATGCTGTTTTGAAAACTTCTTTGAAATTACTTTCAATCTATTCAAAATTGTGTTTTGCCTTATTTGGCATGATTTCCAAAGTGTTTTGTCGTCATTTTCAAAATCGCAAAGTATCTGTATTTATATTTCCATAATAATACACAAGCAAACTTTGTCCGATGATGTCCATTTTATGAAATATCATGCGGCGCGACCATCAACAAACAACCACTTTGGGACTCTTATGTTGAAATCCATTAGAAGACAGGAAGTTGAATAATATACCAATTTGCCAAGGACCCACTGAAACAGCAAGAATGTTTGTAACACTCTCTCAAATCAGGAAAAATGTAAAATTGTCATCATGTGGTATGACCTCAGAAAAACAATTAATATAAAGTTATTTCTACCAATATTTGTTTTGATTATAAATTTCATGGAGTCCTTTTGTAAGAAGCTAGCCTGTTTTGTTTAGGTGGCCTATTCTCTGCCTGTAAATTTTGACTAAATTAGAAAAAATCATGGGGTGCGACCGCTGAAAAGTGGTTTCCATGATTGGAAATTTAGTTTTTGACCTTTTATTTTCAATTTATGACTTTTACATATAAAGTACTTTTATTGTAGTATGATTTGGAACAGATTTTTCTGCAGTTTGACACACTTTTTCTTACACTTCAGAAAAATAACGGATTATTTTAGTCTTTGTACAATATCATGAGAAAAATGCCCCCCAAAAATATTTAGAACTTGTAAATTCACTTTGGTAACTATGCAACATTAGTAATATTTAATGAATTATAACTGTTTTACCAGATGGTAAAAGTAAAGAAAAACTGCTCGCCATGGACAGCATGTTCATTTTGACCCTACAGCAAGAGCAGAGTCGCTAAAAGAAGCCCATGTTTACGTTTTTAACAACCCCAGGACTTTCACACAGTAGAACCGCGTTCGATTTCTACAGGTCAGTAGTGGTCTACAGGTCAGTAGTGGTCTACAGGTCAGTAGTGGTCTGCATGTCAGTAGTGGTCTACAGGTCAGTAGTGGTCTACAGGTCAGTAGTGGTCTGCATGTCAGTAGTGGTCTACAGGTCAGTAGTGGTCTACAGGTCAGTAGTGGTCTGCATGTCAGTAGTGTTCTACAGGTCAGTAGTGCTTTTCAGGTCAGTAGTGGTCTACAGGTCAGTAGTGCTTTTCAGGTCAGTAGTGGTCTACAGGTCAGTAGTGGTCTACAGGTCAGTAGTGGTCTACAGGTCAGTAGTGCTTTTCAGGTCAGTAGTGTTCTACAGGTCAGTAGTGGTCTACAGGTCAGTAGTGGTCTACAGGTGAGTAGTGCTTTTCAGGTCAGTAGTGTTCTACAGGTCAGTAGTGGTCTACAGGTCAGTGGTGGTCTACAGGTCAGTGGATGGCTGCAGGTCAGTAGTGCTTTTCAGGTCAGTAGTGCTCTACAGGTCAGTAGTGCTTTTCAGGTCAGTAGTGTTCTACAGGTCAGTAGTGTTCTACAGGTCAGTGGTGGTCTACAGGTCAGTAGTGGTCTACAGGTGAGTAGTGCTTTTCAGGTCAGTAGTGTTCTACAGGTCAGTAGTGATCTACAGGTCAGTAGTGGTCTACAGGTCAGTAGTGGTCTGCATGTCAGTAGTGGTCTACAGGTCAGTAGTGGTCTACAGGTCAGTAGTGGTCTGCATGTCAGTAGTGGTCTACAGGTCAGTAGTGGTCTACAGGTCAGTAGTGGTCTGCATGTCAGTAGTGGTCTACAGGTCAGTAGTGGTCTACAGGTCAGTAGTGGTCTGCATGTCAGTAGTGTTCTACAGGTCAGTAGTGTTCTACAGGTCAGTAGTGCTTTTCAGGTCAGTAGTGTTCTACAGGTCAGTAGTGGTCTACAGGTGAGTAGTGCTTTTCAGGTCAGTAGTGTTCTACAGGTCAGTAGTGGTCTACAGGTCAGTGGTGGTCTACAGGTCAGTGGATGGCTGCAGGTCAGTGGTGGTCTACAGGTGAGTAGTGCTTTTCAGGTCAGTAGTGCTTTTCAGGTCAGTAGTGTTCTACAGGTCTGTAGTGTTCTACAGGTCAGTGGTGGTCTACAGGTCAGTAGTGGTCTACAGGTGAGTAGTGCTTTTCAGGTCAGTAGTGTTCTACAGGTCAGTAGTGGTCTACAGGTCAGTGGTGGTCTACAGGTCAGTGGATGGCTGCAGGTCAGTAGTGCTTTTCAGGTCAGTAGTGCTCTACAGGTCAGTAGTGCTTTTCAGGTCAGTAGTGTTCTACAGGTCAGTAGTGTTCTAC